GCCTACCCTGATCCTGACACGTCACCTACTGTGACCATTCTGTCTGGTGGTCGTGGAGTTGACCCGGAGTTAACCCTGGAATTTTAGGTCAGAGATTAACCTCTTAAAATGGCAGATGCCTTTTTATCTGCAAGTGACAAAATGGTTCCTTTATCATTATTATTATGTAAATTATGCATCCCGGACAAGCACCCAAATACGTCACGGCCCAAGTCAACCACATACGGTGTAAAGTGTAGGTACATATTTTCACAACTGTTGTGATACCTGTTTGCGGTTTTTGGTAATATTTTTGCTGAATTGAGTCTTTGAATTAAAGTGTGTTAGTACTGGGCTAGAATAAAACTGTGTAACATTGGAGGTACCTACGGTAAATACTGGAATTGACAAACACTTAGAACGAGAAGGCGTGCGCGTGTGTCTTTACTATTTTCCTCGTGACTCATGACAAAATAAGACATTAACGAGATAAATCCAACCAATCAAAAAAAAATTGCCAATCAGTGACCTCGCTCAGAACACTAATTAACTACCGGGTAAATCTCTCAGAGGTCATCAGTGTTACAGACAAGTATGGAGCAGAGAGCAGCGGCCACCATATGGCTAAAGATGCCCATCACCAGGATTCTGTCTTCTTTACTGCTCTTTTAATCTTTTGGGCTAATTGTTTTCTTCTCCTCCCTCCCCCACCGCACCCACTACTGGTCTGATCACAGTCTATGGTACCCCTAAGTAGAAGACTAAGTTTTATAGTGATGTAAGCTGATTAGCTGGTTTACAATGGGTTTTAAGCTGTTTTGTGTCTTCTCCAGGTGGAACTTGCTGACATCGACATTAATCTGATCTCTAAGCAATTTTTGTGGTAAAGAGATTATTATTATTATTTTGGGAGATTGCAAAATATGACCTTTTCATTCAAGACAGGAGAAACATATTATTTCAGGTGATAATAAAACATGTTTAGTTTAGTTACTTTTTCCTCAACTTGTTTCTCTAACTTTCTAGCAAGTCATGCTAGCTTACAGAGCAGCTAGCTAGCTAAAAGCTAGGCTAGGTTGAAAATACCACTGTAGCTAGCTAAAAGCTAGGCTAGGTTGAAGATACCAGTGTAGCTAGCTAAAAGCTAGATTGATGATACTGTAGCTAGCGACCTCCACCTAATAATTATCAAAAACAAACGTCATTACCACCACATTAAACTAAAACGGGAGGCAACAGTCATATAATATAAATGGTTTAACAGCCAATGTCTATTATTTAACATTACTATTAAAATAGTAGTCACTTATAGGAATGGGTAATTGTTTACAAGTTGCTAGCAATCCCATAAAGCCATCACCGAAAACCACATATTTTCATTGTCTTCTGTGGTTATGGTAACTTCCTGTTCTTTGTGGACTGAAGACTAGGCAAAGTTAGGGAAAATTCTATGTGTGCGGCGTCCATCTCGCATCGGAGCCTTCAACTGCAAGGGGGCGTTGTGATGCCACTCCATTGTGGACGTCCCCATTGAAATGAATGACATCCGGTGCAACGTAACAGAGTGCTTATGGTGAATGAGGCTTTAGGCTACAGTGTTGATAATGGGGCCCCAATGACAACACTGAGCTGAATTATCCTGTAGCAAGTTCCCCCTCAATTCTGCCCAGTTTTTTGGGGGGATGTACTGTATACTTCTGTAATACTGTGTGGGGTAATCAGGCAAGGATGGGGTAAGTGGAATATGGCTGCTACATGATCCTGTAGCATACTGTATACTTCATAAATTCTATCCAGTTATGCAAAGTATTGTTTGTTTCACATTAAATTAACCTCTACAGGATCGGTGTCCCGTATACGGGACGGTTGAGCTAACGTGCGCTAATGTGATTAGCATGACTGTTGTAAGTAACAGCAAACTTTCCAGGACATAGACATGTCTTATATGGGCAGAAAAGCTTAAATTCTTCTTAATCGAACTGCACTGTCCAATTTACAGTAGCTATTACAGTGAAAACATACCATGCTATTGTTTGAGGAGAGTGCACAACAACAAAAAACGTATCACGCCAACTGGTTTGATACATTCACCTCTGAAGGTAAATAATGTACTTACATTCAGTAATCTTGCTCTGATTTGTCGACCTGAGGGTCCCAGAGATAAAGTGTAGCATAGTTTTGTTTGATGAAATCCATTTTATATTCAAATGTAGGAACTGGGTTCTACAGTTTGAACCCCTGCTGTCTCTGGCACCACACCCACCCCGCCTGGCCATCTAGATGTGTGAAAGTTAGTGTATAAGCTAATGATCCATCATGTATGACATTCCTGGGAGTGTGCACACTTACATTTTGTATTACCATATCATGTTTGTATGTTCTCTATAGTTATGTACTTGAAAATGTGTCAACTGACGAATTCGGCACATTTGGGCAGACTTGATACAAAATAGTCCAGTATTGCAATGCTTCACTAGATTAATCTGAAACTTTGCACACACTGCAAATCTAAATTGCGCCTAAACTGCAATATTATATTGTGGCCTTTCTCTTGCATTTCAAAGATGATGGAACGAAAGAAATGATAGAAAATTCATGTTTTTTTTGTTTGTATTGTCTTTTACCAGATCTAATGTGTTATTCTCCTACATTAATTTCAAATTTCCACAAACTTCAAAGTGTTTCCTTTCAAATGGTATCAAGAATATGCATATCCTTGCTTCAGGTCCTGAGCTACAGGCAGGTCAATTTGGGTATGTCATTTTAGGCGAAAATTGAAAAAAAGGGTCAGAACCTTAAGAGGTTAACAAAAAAAAAAATGATATGCTTTATTGATAAAGTTTGTTTGATTGATTGATTAAAATATATAGAATGCGACCTGTGCTGTGGCGTCCCTTCAGGCTCAACAGGTGGTTGTTTAGTAGCTGCTGTGTGTGGGATCAGAACAGGAGCAACTCTGAATCAAATCACTGATCAGATACTTGGACGGCTAAAGTGAAACATTTACAAAAAAATAAAGCGTTTTCTTACACTGTTTTTTTTGTTGTTGTGTCTGAATCATATAGTAATTGTAGTTGTGTCTAACAGCGGGGGTTATAGATCTCTTGCCAGGAAAGTGAATAATCAGCAGAACAACAGAACAATAAACAACAAACAAACAAAATCATTGTAGAAGACAGATGTCTTGTCTGATGTCATTCATGTGCCAAGTAGCAGAGAATAGAGAAACTGCAAGCGTGGCCATATTGTAGTGAGCGTCATATGTCCAGATTAACATTATTCACTGAAACCAGTCAACTGTATGAGATAACAACAACTGATGAAATCACCAGAAAGTTGTGATGGCGCCAGGATGCAGTCTGACCGGTGACTCCAGGTGATAGTTGTGATGGCGCCAGGATGCAGTCTGACCGGTGACTCCAGGTGAAAGTTGTGATGGCGCCAGGATGCAGTCTGACCGGTGACTCCAGATGAAAGTTGTGATGGTGCCAGGACGCAGTCTGACCGGTGACTCCAGGTGATAGTTGTGATGGCGCCAGGATGCAGTCTGACCGGTGACTCCAGGTGAAAGTTGTGATGGCGCCAGGATGCAGTCTGACCGGTGACTCCAGGTGATAGTTGTGATGGCGCCAGGATGCAGTCTGACCGGTGACTACAGGTGATAGTTGTGATGGCGCCAGGATGCAGTCTGACCGGTGACTCCAGGTGGAAGTTGTGATGGCGCCAGGACGCAGTCTGACTGGTGACTCCAGATGTGAATAATCATTCTGCAACTATCATACAACTGTTGCCTTCAGGCGTCGTTCCTATTGAAGCTTATATTTGACCCTTTCAAGTATTATTTCTTAACGTGTTTTCCAAAGATTCACATTTTTCTTCTAGTTCTGCACAGCAACACTTGATTAAACTAATCAGCTAATCATCATGCCCTTGATTAGTTGAATCTGGTGTGCTTATAGAACTAGAACAAAATACTGGGACAGTGGACCTATACCAGGTAGACCTATACCAGGTAGACCTATACCAGGTAGACCTATACCAGGTATACCTATACCAGGTATGGTTATGGTGTAATGACTGTGTAATGATCCTATATGTCCATCCTCACCATGCTCACCACTGAATAATGCATAGGCTTCCCCTCTTCTCTCCCACAACTAACTGACTGATAGACAGACAACATTAGTCCAACCCAAAACATAATTTAGCCATTTAAAATTCAATTATTCTCCTCTGCAAACCCCCCAGACCGCTATTGGACCAGGGCGATCTCCAATCCCTCCAGTCTGTTAAAAGAGAGTCTAAATGGGATATAATGGGTCAGCTGGGTAGCTTGGCAAACACTGAATGGGGAGCAATCACACAGATCAAATATACAGGGGGAAATTGAGCTGGAATTCATACAGAGGCAAGGGGGAAATGGAGAGAGAGGGGGGCAATACAAATTGATGGGTCCGGCAAACATAATAATGTGCTGCCCGGTCCATGTAATTATCCCTTTAAAAGGCACTGACACCGTAGAGGGCTGTTGACTGACGGCAAGAGAGAGTAAGAGAGTAAAGAGAGGTAAGAGAGAGAGAGAGAGAGAGAGAGAGAGAGAAGAGAGAAGAGAGAGAGAGAGAGAGAGAGAGGAGAGGAGAGATAGGAGAGAGAGAGAGAGAGAGAGAGAGAGACAGAGCAAGAGAGAAGACGAGGAGGAGAGACTCTCTAGACAGAGAGAGAGAAGAAGAGCAGGAGACAGGATAGAGAAATACACGAGAGAAGAGAGACGAGGAAGAGACAGAGAGAGAGAGAGATAGAAGGAGAGAGAGAGAGAGATAGAGACAGGTATAAAGTTACAGCCAGCGGAGAGAGAGAGAGAGAGGAGAGAGAGACAGGTATAAAGTTACAGCCCTCTGTGACCTTCTCTATTCTTCTCTTTTAATATTCCCCCCCCCCCCCCCCCTTGTTCCACATTGTTCTAAGTCCTGGCAATGTGACTGATTGATCAGACCAGTGGATGAACAGTAAAGATTAAGAGGATGAGTAATGAGCAGCATGTGCTTACACAGCGCTGTGGACTAATCCTGCCCCCCACTACCCGTCCCCACGGTCTCCCCTTTAGAGGAGCTCCCACCAGGGAGGACCCACAGACACACACAGCTCTGGCCAAGAGGGAGGACAGGACAGAGGAACTGACAGTGTTAACTAACTTCCACTGTCCAGCAGATCACACCACTGTTACAGAGACCAAGAGACTATCCAGGACCTGAGAGAGACTGAGAGATTCTCGTATCTCCGTCACCAAGGGACAGAGGAAGGAGAGACTGAGAGATCATCGTATCTCCATCACCAAGGGACAGAAGAAGGAGAGACTGAGAGATCATCGTATCTCCATCACCAAGGGACAGAAGAAGGAGAGACTGAGAGATCATCGTATCTCCATCACCAAGGGACAGAAGAAGGAGAGACTGAGAGATCATCGTATCTCCGTCACCAAGGGACAGAAGAAGGAGAGACTGAGAGATCATCGTATCTCCATCACCAAGGGACAGAGGAAGGAGAGACTGAGAGATCATCGTATCTCCATCACCAAGGGACAGAGGAAGGAGAGACTGAGAGATCATCGTATCTCCATCACCAAGGGACAGAAGAAGGAGAGACTGAGAGATCATCGTATCTCCATCACCAAGGGACAGAGGAAGGAGAGACTGAGAGATCATCGTATCTCCATCACCAAGGGACAGAAGAAGGAGAGACTGAGAGATCATCGTATCTCCATCACCAAGGGACAGAAGAAGGAGAGACTGAGAGATCATCGTATCTCCATCACCAAGGGACAGAGGAAGGAGAGACTGAGAGATCATCGTATCTCCATCACCAAGGGACTGAGGAAGGAGAGACAACGTGGATACAGGACATCCAGTGACTGGGTGACCATAGGGGGGAGTGGATCTGGACTAAAGAGGAACCGAACTGACCAGCCATCTGCCAGTCAGAGCTACCCATCCATCAGGACATTTCTGCACTCCAATAGATTGGCAGTGACACTTCGACTAACTTTTCCTGCATCGTCGCTGATTGCCACACAGCAGCTAGGCTCGTCATTGCGTTGGGAAACGATTTCAGAACTTCTAAGCCGTTTACAGTAACCTCTGGGTGTGGGGGGAAAGCGACCGGTCCACAAGACATCGTTAGGACATATTGACAAACCATGATGGAGGATCACCTGTCTAAGATCCATCCCTCCTCCTCTCCAAGCGAATCTTCAGGGAGCAGTGGCACCGACTGTGACAGCAGAGGAGGTAAATGTTTGGCTGATATGGACTTCACATTATTTCTAAAAGCTGGTGCTCGGGCCAAAAGCTCGGTGAATAAAGGAAATAAAAGCTGCTCATGTTAAATGCTGCTCCAGAGTGCTTTATTCTTGCAACACAACCAACGAAGTTCAGACCGCAATACACATAGTTTATTATTGATTGTGTTCCATAGTGAAGCACTTGGGATCAGCATTTACCATGTGTGGGCGCTTTTCTTCTTTACTGGCAGAGCAGGTGAGACCTCAGTGCTGCGCTCTCCCGTTAGAAACAACAGGCTGCTGTCCAGATCGCTGGCACCATGATGAGCCTGACGGAATTGTTACTGATAACAGTTAACGTATAGATATTATGCAGATAACAAGCTTAGTCTGTGTGTGGCTCCAAATTTCAAATACTTTAAAGTAAAATGTCTGCTTTCTATCAGCGCTGACGTTTCAAATTGAATGCATTGAAATGTATTTTATTTCATTGATACAAATATTAATTTTCAATGAGTAGAAAATACTATTTTTGGAATAACAAATAATTGAGAATTATATTCTTTATGTTGGAGAGAAAAAAGTGATGTTGCTTAATTAAAATGTTCAATTATTTGATAGTTGGATCAACTATGCTGTCTCTAACTACCCCACCTCTCTCTCTCTCTGTTGTCTCCCAGCAAAGAGTCCAGCCCCGGGTAAAGCCCTGAGTCCAGCGCTGCTCTGTAAGGTCTGTGGAGACACCAGCAGTGGAAAACACTACGGCATCTACGCCTGCAACGGCTGCAGCGGATTCTTCAAACGCAGCGTCCGACGGAGACTCATATACAGGTGAGTCGCCGTGGTAACAGACACTGTAGCCTAGTGTACAGTCAAACTACCCACTGATAGATAGGCTAACTGTGTCATCACAACTTTACATACAAATAAATAAACATAATTTGTGATTTTAATACATTTAAGTTGATCCCGACTTCTTAGTTGACGTTTAAATCTCTAGAATAATGTATTATTTCACATACTGTGAAACTCTGCTAAAGATATGTTTTCCTCTGCTCATCCCAACAGGTGTCAGGCTGGTACGGGCATGTGCCCAGTGGATAAGGCCCATCGGAACCAGTGCCAAGCCTGTCGGCTGAAGAAGTGCCTACAGGCAGGCATGAACAAAGATGGTGAGTCGGTGAAATTCATTTATTTGGAGTCAAAGATAATAATCTGTTTTTCAGTATGAATAGATCTGAAATGGTGTATAATTCTGGTTAGAGTTGGGATATGTTTGTTGAGCAGTCTGTCTCCTTGGACGGTGAAGTGTAAAGGTGTGTCTTAACTCCCCCCCCCCAGCTGTCCAGAACGAGCGTCAGCCCCGCAGCACGTCTCAGGTGCATCTGGACTCCATCGACGTGGACACAGACAAGGAGCACCTGGCCACCACACGGGATCCCACTTCCTCTTCCTCCTCTTCCTCCTCCTGCTCAGTGATCACCCGGCCCCACATCACCTCCACCTCCATCAGCTCCTCCTCTGCCCCCCCACAGCGCTGTGGCTCCTCCCCCAGCCCTCAGAACAACCACCGCTTCATGGTCAGCCTCATGACCGCTGAGACCTGCGCTAAACTGGAGCCTGAGGATGGTGAGGAGGCTTTTATTATGGCTTTGTTGGCTGCTTTTCCTCCCTTTCTTTCTTTCTTTCTTTCTTTCTTTCTTTCTTTCTTTCTTTCTTTCTTTCTTTCTTTCTTTCTTTCTTTCTACTTCTTCATCTTTCTTTCTCACGTATTTACAGTTTCTCTCACAGTTTCCATAATGTCCAGGTTTTTATCTTTGTATTTAAATCATTCCACTTCTTTCACAGTTGATGAGAACATTGATGTGACCAGTAACGAGCCAGAGAGGGCGTCCTCAGACTACCACATGTCCCTGTACCCGTCCAGTACAGAGAACGTGTACGAGACTTCAGCCAGGCTTCTCTTTATGTCTGTTAAATGGGCCAAGAACCTTCCGGTGTTCTCCAATCTCCCCTTCAGAGACCAGGTAAGACAGGACACTATGATTGTACATGAAGACTTCAGTTAAAGGGTTTACTTACAGTATAAACTGCTTATAAAACATATCACTAGATCGTTTGGTAATTGATAGTTTGTCAATATGAACACTGTCGTATAGCTCAAACAGGTAAACAAGCGATGTTTTTTTTATGGTGCAAGGAATAGTTTGATACAACTTCCACCTGTTTTGAGACACTGTTTTGAGACACTTTGAGACACAGTTTGTGATGTCATGTTTATGACCTGTCACCAGTGACCTCTAACCTTGTGTGACCCCCCCCCCCACTGATCTGACTTCCTTTGTCCCCCTCCAGGTGATCCTGCTGGAGGAGGCGTGGTCTGAACTCTTCCTGCTGTGTGCCATCCAGTGGTCTCTCCCCCTGGACAGCTGTCCTCTGCTGTCCCTCCCTGACGTGTCCCCCCACCACCACGCAGAGTAAGACATCCTACAGCAGCCTGGACCTGCGTCTGCTCCAGGAGGTCTTCAGTAGGTTCAAAGCCCTGGCCGTAGACCCCACTGAGTTCGCCTGCCTCAAGGCCATCGTTCTCTTTAAACCAGGTGGGTGTCTGGGGCGTCAGGGGGATGTTGGTTTGGGATTTTTTGTTGCGGTGGGGTAATTTCTTTGCAATAAGAAGGGCCAGATATAATCTGTGGTGATGTTTTTGGGAACAGAGCTGAATGTAATGCAATACATATTTCTGTTTGATCTGGATTAGATTTACTGCCAGAGGTCTTTCTATTTCTGGGGGTATAAATTCTACTGGCCATGTGGATAATAAGACATGAGACTGTTTGACTGACTTTTACTCTTTGTTGTCACAGAGACCCGAGGTCTGAAGGACCCAGAGCAGGTAGAGAACCTACAGGATCAGTCCCAGGTGATGTTGGGACAACACATCAGATCACATTACTCCAGTCAGCCTGCCAGGTAGGATTCACTACGACCTCCCTGCACAACCATACTGACCTCCCTGCACAACCTCACTGACCTCCCTGCACAATCATACTGACCTCCCTGCACAACCTCACTGACCTCCCTGCACAACCTCACAGACCTCCCTGCGCTCAGACTCTTCCTTTATGCCCTTTTATCCACATGGATCTGGATTCCAATGTATGTATAGCTAGCTACTAACCTGAAGAATGAGAGTATGTTCAATTGGCTGGTGAAATCAAATGTCACTTTTAGGAATCTGTAAATGACTTGATCTTGATATTATCTTGACAGCTTTTAACAGAATTGGAATCAGTTTCATTTTCTATTTTTTTAGACAGTTCAGGACTTTGACGGAATCTCTTTGCTGTAAATTCAAAGTGTATAACTCACCACCCTTCGCTGTCTCTCTCTCTCTCGGTGTAGATTTGGGAAGCTCCTCCTGCTGTTGCCCTCTCTGCGTTTCGTCAGCTCCGAGCGGATCGAGCTCCTCTTCTTCCACAGGACCATCGGCAACACCCCTATGGAGAAACTGCTGTGTGACATGTTCAAGAACTAATACACAGAGAAACAAAATGGACGCTCAGTTATACTGCACTAAGACACAGAGAAAAAAAATGGACGCTCAGTTATGCTGCACTAAGACACACTGCAAGGGAACATGCTGACAGCAAGAACTAATACACAGAGAAACAAAATGGACGCTCAGTTATACTGCACTAAGACACACTGCAAGGGAACATGCTGACAGCTAACAAACTGCCGTGTTGTAACAGAATGTTGTTAATCTGTTCTTTGCCGTGTGTAAGAAAACCATGTAAATACGTTATCGCTGTAAGAGAGTGTTGAAAACGGACCTGCTTTTGAGCTTTGTACTGTTGGACAGAAAGTTTGTGTTTCATATCTTCAGTTACGTTTCTGTCTAGCTGTCCATTGTGTCTTTTTTCACGATGTCATGTAATATATTTATATACAATCTGTTTGGTGTTAGATACTGTACATTTCTGCTGTCATAAATATGTGTGCTGTATTTATGATTTCATGCCTTGATAAATTTAAACTTGTACTTTCGTGTTTACGTATTTCTTTCAATGAAGCACACGGCTGGCAGGCCTACATTTGAGCCAAGACGGTTACCTTCCTTCCCTCTATGACAGTTTCACTGAACTGAAGGGGGTGACTAGAAGCAGGGTTTACAGTAGGATATATATTAACTGAAGGAGATGACTAGAAGCAGGGTTTACACCAAGATATCTATTAACTGAAGGGGGTGAGTAGAAGCAGGGTTTACAGTAGGATATATATTAACTGAAGGAGATGACTAGAAGCAGGGTTTACACCAAGATATCTATAAACTGAAGGGGTGAATAGAAGCAGGGTTTACACCAAGATATCTAATAACTGAAGGGGTGAGTAGAAGCAGGGTTTACAGTAGGATATCTATTAACTGAAGGAGATGACTAGAAGCAGGGTTTACACCAATATATATATTATAGATACATGGAGGCTTAAATATCCTGATCTAGTGAGATATACATGGCGGAGACTCAATCAAGCTAGTCGTCTTGACTTCTTTCTTATGTCATTCTTGTTGGCACCAAAAGTTTAAAAAGTGTTGATAGGGGACAGAATGCCGTCGGACCATCATATAATTGGCATATACATTACTCTTACTGAATTTCCACGTGGGCGAGGATATTGGACATTTAATCAAAGCCTATTGGATGATAACTTCTTTTTAACTAGGACAGAGGAATTTATAACTGATTTTTTCCGACATAACATAGGTCCAGCAAATCCCCTCATTGTATGGGACACCTTTAAATGTGCCTTTAGAAGCCATGCAATTCAGTACTCATCTCGAAAACAAAAGCAATTTAGGTCGAAAGAGTCCATAATAACAAAGGAAATAGAAGGTCTAACAGAACAGATAGATGGCAATAAAAACTGTAACATAGAGGCTCAGAATAAATTAGAGGAAAAACAAAAAGAAATGGAGAAACTTATTCAAGAAAGATCAAGTGTAATATATTATAAAAAATAAAGCAAACTGGATGGAATATGGGGAAAAATGCACCAAATTCTTTTTTAATCTTCAACATAGGAATGCTACCAAAAATAATTTATTGAAACTGGTTACAAATGACGGAGTCATCCATGATTCACCAAATGATATTTTGAAGGAGGAAACAAAGTACTTTAAGCATATGTTTTCGTTTCAGTCGCCTCCATCTCCTCTAACTGAAGCAAATTGTAGAGATTTTTTTTCTATTGATAATGTAAAATTAACAGCCATGCAGAAAGACTCATGTGAAGGTGAAATTACAGAGGAGGAACTTCTGGATGCAATTAAAGACTTTAAGTCCGGGAACACTCCAGGGTTGGATGGCATACCAGTCGAGGTATACCAAACCTTTTTTGATATACTCAGAGGACCGTTATTAGCATGTTTTAACCACTCCTATGTAAATGGTAGATTATCAGACACTCAAGAAGAAGGTCTGATTTCATTATTACTGAAACAGGATACAAGTGGAAAATATAAAGATCCAGTCCATTAAAAACATTGGAGGCCCTTTACAGTTTAGTGTTGTGATGCAAAAATTCTAGCAAAATGTATAGCGCATAGAATTAAAAAGGTATTGTCGGACATTATTCATTCTAATCAGACAGGTTTTTTACATGGGCGATACATTGGACGGGCCCCGTGTAGCTCAGTTGGTAGAGCATGACATTTGCAACGCCAGGGTTGTGGGTTCGATTCCCACGGGGGGCCAGTATGAAAAATGTATGCACTCACTAACTGTAAGTCGCTCTGGATAAGAGCGTCTGCTAAATGACTAAAATGTAAAATAATTGGAGATAATATAAGGCAAGTATTGGAAACAATAGAACACTATGAAAAATCTTGGAAACCAGGCCTACTATTCATAGCAGACTTCGAAAAGGCATTTGATAAAGTGCGACTGGGGTTTATATATAAATGCCTGGAGCATTTCAATTTTGGACAATCTCTTATGAATTGGGTTAAAATCATGTATAGTAACCCTAGGTGTAAAATAGTAAATAATGGCTATTTCTCAGAAAGTTTTAAACTGTCAAGAGGAGTGAAACAAGGTTGTCCACTATCGGCATATCTATTTATCGTGGCCATCGAGATGTTAGCTATTAAAATCAGATCCAACAATAATATCAAGGGATTATAAATCCAGGGCTTTAAAAACAAAGGTGTCATTGTACGCTGATGATTCATGTTTTCTTTTAAATCCACTACTTGAATCCCTCCACAGCCTCATAGAGGATCTATGTCACGGTTTCGGCCGAGGCTGCTCCTCCTCCTGGCTCGGGCAGGTTTCGGCGGTCGTCGTCCCCGGAGTACTAGCTGCCACCGTTGTATGTTTCATGTTCGTTTGGTTTTGTCTTGATGATGTACACCTGTTTCTAGTTAGTCTTCATTAGTGTCCTATTTAGTTCTCGTTGTGTGTGTCAGGTGTTCTGTGCTACGTGTTTCCCTCCGTTGTTTGGAGAGGTTTTCGCACATGTTAGTGCGCCTTTTGTTTGACGCCTGTGTGCGCCTTTATTTCGCCTCCGGGCTTGTTGGGCTCGTGTACTACGTGAATATTTCACTAAAGTCTTTTGGACTTAGTTTCTGCGTCCTGCGCTTGATTCCTGCACCACACCCACCTTCAGCACCCGTGACAGAATCACACACCATATATAATGGAATCAGCAGGAGCAACAGCCACACCTGAGTCGCTGGAGGAGCATGTCCGCGGCCAGGATGACCAGATCAGACAACTGGGGAACTGCTCTACAGGATGTCATCAACACCCTGCACCGATGGGAGTCCAGAGGGGTACCCACACCTCCACCTACCTTGCCACCCCCATCGGCCGGTCCACCAGTCCCAGGTCCGGAACCCAGTGGGATTCGGCTCTCGCTCCCGAGTTGCCGGGTGTCAGGGGTTCCTCCTGCAGGTGGAGCTCTACCTGGCCACTGTACACCCGGTGCCCTCGGGACACGAGAGCGTTTTCGCCCTCATCTCCTGTCTCACAGGCAAGGCGTTGGAATGGGCCAACGCCGAGTGGAGGAGGATAGACGCCACCACCATCTCCTACGCAGAGTTCTCCCGTCGCTTCAAGGCCGTGTTCGACCATCCACCTGAGGGCAAAGCGGCGGGGGAGCGTCTATTCTACCTGAGACAGGGGAGGAGGAGCGCACAGGAGTTCGCACTGGAGTTCCGGACTCTAGCAGCAGACGCAGGGTGGAATGAACGGGCCCTCATCGACCATTTTCGATGTAGCCTACGGGAGGACGTTCAACGTGAGTTGGCCTGCAGGGACACCAATTTCACCTTCGACCAGTTGGTCGACATGTCCATCCGTCTGGACACCCTGCTGGCCACCCGTGGACGTCCCGAGTGGGGTCCGTCCATTCCACCCTCCAGCACCTCCGAGCCGAGCCCTATGGAGCTCGGGGGTGCTGGCGCTAGAGAAAGGAGGAGGAGGAGCCCGAGGTGGCCTGTCCCCTGCACCAATTGCAGTCGTGGAGGGCACACTGCGGCCAGGTGCTGGGGAGGGTTCCCAGAGGGAGGAGACAACAGGCCACGCACTGGGGAGCCTTCCCAGGTGAGTAGAAGCCCCACTTACCCAGAGCTCTCTGTTGTACACTTTTGTATACCTGTTTGTTTTCCACAGGTTGCACCTCATTCCCAGCATAAGGCGCTGGTAGATTCAGGCGCAGCTGGGAATTTTGTTGATCGGAAGTTTTGTTTAGATTTAGGGATTCCTCTCCTGCCTGTTGACAAGCCTTTTCCCGTTCATGCTTTAGATAGCCGCCCGTTGGGGTCGGGGTTGATTAGGGAAATCACAGCGCCACTTAGGATGTGTGCGCAGGGGGGTCAAGAGGAGACTATACAGCTATATCTGATCGACTCTCCTGCGTACCCGGTGGTGCTGGGAATTCCCTGGTTAAGTACCCATAACCCTGCCATTTCGTGGCAACAGAGAGCTCTCAATGGGTGGTCTGCTCAGTGTGAGGGGCGATGTCTGGGTGTTTCCGTGGGGGCGACTTCGGTGGAGAGTCCAAACCAAGTGCCCGCACTGCACATTCCGCCTGAATATGGGGATTTAGCTCTCGTGTTTAGTAAAGCTAGGGCGACGCAGTTGCCTCCTCATAGACAGGGGGATTGTGCGATTGATCTCCAGGCAGGAGCAGCGCTCCCACGGAGCCACGTGTTTCCTTTGTCTCAAGAGGAGAGAAAAGCTATGGAGACTTACATAGCCGAATCTTTGAGACAGGGATACATACGGCCCTCCACTTCTCCCGCATCCTCGAGCTTCTTTTTTGTGAAGAAAAAAGATGGAGGGTTGCGCCCGTGCATTGATTACCGTGGTCTCAATCAGATTACTGTGAAATACAGTTATCCACTCCCTCTGATTGCGACCATGACGGAGTCATTGCACGGAGCGCGGTTTTTCACAAAACTGGATCTCAGGAGCGCGTATAACTTGGTGCGCATTTGGGAGGGCTACGAATGGAAAACAGCGTTTAGTACCA